GGTATGTGCCCTGCCCGGGGATTGAACCTGCAGCCTTTCTGTGTATGGGTTGCTGCTGCCACACTAGCCGGGGCAAGAAGGCCGGCCTTCCTTCCTTCCTTCCTTCCTTCCTTCCTTCCTTCCTTCCTTCCTTCCTTCCTGTTTATTTATTTATTTAATCTTTGTTGTTGGAAGTATGATAGATATCCTCCCTTTTTTCTCCCCTTGACCCCCTCCTCTCCACTTCCACCCCCTCCTAAGAAGGCCCTTCCTTTAAAGGCAAACGTGTCTATAGTAAGTCCTCACTGAACAGCATGGATAGGTTTTTGAACGTTTAACAGAACCAGTTTTACCCTAGGTTAATAGATATAAACAAGAATTAAGTTCCTAAGGCCTCTCATCAACGTTATAAGGAAAGAACGTTGAACAAAATGACATTAAGAAATGATGTTATTGGAGGACCTGAAGCGTGGAACTTTGTTAAACAAGTAAACACATTTATACGAGCAGAAAAGACTTTAATTTCCAGATGCAGAGTGCTGGAAAGGTGGCTTAGCTCTACTGCCAGGAAGAAGAACTGGATTTGCTAGGCGTCCAGTGGTTGGCTTGTGAGCGTACTGCTCAGCCTGACCTCTTGGCCCAACAGCAGGACAGGGTTCTAAGGCCACGGCCTTTCCTTCTTTACCACCGAGCCCACTGTTCATCCTGAGAGGTCTTCAAAGATTTTTGCTCCCTTATGCCCTGAAAGTATTTTGAAAAAGTATGTGCCCCCTTACGTATGTCTTAATTAACCTGTAAGTTTTTTTCTTCCTAAATTTAACTAATTGCGAAGGGTAAAACTTCTAATATAGTATAATTATTGACAATTTTGATATAAATAATGCATCACCCTTTTAAATTAATCCAATGGCATAAAGATTCCGCAGTCTTTGGTCAACCACCTTCACCTAATCAAAAATCAAACAAACATGAACAGACTTGTACTTAGTAGCAAACCATTCTGAGGCAGCACAAGGACTTGGGCTCTGGGTGGCCAGTCAGCCAAGGTGACACGAGGTGCTTAGAAGGAACGCCAGATAAGCTGACCTCAAGAAGGTCATCGCCCATTCACTCCCTACTCAAACGTGCAGAGGTAGCTGATTTTCTCTCCCTTCTCACTGTTGATGCTGAAGATGTTGGAACTACTGACCCTCATGAGCGTTCGATCCAAGTCTGATCCTTGTACATTTCCAGGGCGCAGTAATGAGAAGTCTACCCTCTGCCCCACCTCGCCACCCCCGCAGTGCAGGTATGAACATAGTTACCAGGCAACACTGCTGGAAGGAGAAGGAAATCCACCCTAACATGGAACATTCCACTCCCGGACCTCTCGCAAGCCCACCTTCCCACGCAAGCCCACTCTCCCCAGCTCAGAAAAGTAGACAAGCACAGCCGCCCCCACCCTCCCCCAGCCAGCGGAGGACCTGCCCTTCGTCTGCGCTGCCTGCCTGGTGCTCAAGCATAAGCTTCATAAAATCTGCCTGAAACTTCTCTGGGGTTTCCTCTCACTTTCTATCTTGGGGAACCCAAGAACCCCAGTGCCAGTAACAATTCGTATCACATCTTTTCACCTTAAAAATCACATTTTCATTCTTCCCCCATCACAGAATTTTCTCTTATTGTAACATAGTTTCATGTTTGAAGAGCTTTTATTGATCAACCTATAAAACTTTTTGGCAACGAAAATGTGTTTCCACCTTGAAAAAAAGTATTTCCTGCACCTCGAAGGCACCAAGTTGCAAAATAGGTTTTGTTTGGATCGAGTCATCATTATAATTATTATTAGTTCACAATTGATCAAAATAACATGTGTATATGCTATACATTTTAATAAATTTTAGTCATAAACTATTATTGGAAATGATAAATATGAGGTGAGGCTGTATTTCTCTATTAGTGGCTCTGCATATATCACATTTTTAAATTATCCTTTTATTTGATACCGTGAGATTCTTGCATGTTTCAGCTGCAAAGTGTATCTCTGCCTCCTCATCCCCCCCAGAATGGGTTAAAAATGGGGAAAGGGGATGGGAAAAGAGAATTAGCTTGCTACCTCAAGATGTTGGCTTATACGGAGCAATCGTATGAAAGAATATACATTTGATCATTGTGGACCTAGAAGCTGTTTCTTTTAGGACACTTTTATTTGTGCCTGTCTATACCTTGGGAGGTGTTCATATGGATATAGCCCAGTTTGAAGACTGCTGGTGTATAGGAAAAGAAAAATGACCCTGATATCAGGATATGGGGTCATTGTGCTTCTAACTGGTTGTATTTCCCTAAATACGTTACTTAACCTCAAGGGAGTCAGTCTCCTCCCATTTCAAAGAGCTTCAAAGCCCTTCCAGCACCCACATTCTGATTCCCAGCCACCCTTCTGGGGGGTGGGGGTGGGTGACGACATCACCAGGCTGCATGTATTACTGGACCTCTCCATCAAGTCATCTTTTCCAGGCAATTAGAGTCTGTAGCAGTCTCCTCTCAATGTATCAAACGGATTTATGAAATTAATATTTGACCTTTGCAGCAACTAGAAAGGAACTTGGAGGAAGGGAACAGGGCTTGGGGCATTTCTTTTCTTTTCTTGATCAGATATTTGGTTTCCACAGCTTGCATGACTGATTCTGTGCTTCAGTGACTCTCTTATAACCTTAGCATGTAAAGATGGAAAAATTCCCCTGACATTTCCAGGAAACATTTATTACAGACGATTTTATACGTCTGGTCAGAATGGGCTAACTGATTTTTCACAAGAACAGGATTTGGCAGAAAGCCTGGCCTGCTTTCAGCCCCTTCTTGCCAAAAATCACTCCGGAGCCGACCTGGAGGCTCTTGATGGCTCATATGAGGCCAGATTGAGAAATGGCTGGGTGGGAGTAACCCTTTCCCTTACAGCGAGACGGGGGCCCTGCACAGACGGGGGGCCTCTCCGTACCCGTGTTTCTGGGCAAAGCTCAGCGGCTTTATCTTCCTGGAAAGAACACGATGTCCCATCATATACGGAAGATTGGGGAAGCCACAGAGAAGCCCGGCCACACTCCACTGTCCTAGCGAGCAAGAGGGACAGCGTCGGAAGATTATCGCATGCTCTTCCCTTTCCAGTCTCCCCAGATTGCGTGGGTCACCTGGTCCAGCCAGGTGCCCCACCTCCGCATCACCTACTCTCCACTCAGTGTGGCCACTTCATCTCCATCTGAAGCTCCATCCCCACGCTGGCTCCCGGAGCAAATACTGACAAGAGGCGGGAGGTCCCTAAGCCCCAGGAAGGGTTTAAACAGCGTGTGTCAGGGTCAGGCTTCAGCTTCAGAAGGACCCCCTGGCTGCAGGCGTGTGGAGGATGTTCAGGACCCACTGTGGTGGTAAAGTTGTCCTTCTGCCGGAGAAACCCAATGAGTTTTGTGCGTGTGTTGCCTGAGTTATGCGGCGAGCGCTGAGCACTGACAGTCTCTCTGGCTTGCTGCAGGAGGCTGCTGTTATTTTTTTCGGAGGTGAACAAACCAGGCTGAGTTTCTGAAAAGGGAGATTTTTTTTTAGAAGGTCTTCACCAGGCCAGCTTGGTAGGCCGTGAGCACTGGACTCAGACAGTCCAGGGTCTGTGTGCCCACACCTGTGATTACTGTAGGACTATGGGCAAGTTACTGAACTTCTCTCAGCTGTTCCTTATCTGTAAACTGGGGAAAATAATCATATCTACAACACAGGATTTTTGTGATGATTATGTTCCTGGCATGTGTAAATATTATGCTATTTATTCCTGAACCAGTGCTGAGGAAGGGGGGGTTAGAATGGGAAGTGTGGGTGTGCAGGAAGCGTGGGAGCAGATTTGATGCCTCTGAGTTGGATGAGCAGAGATGCTCCAATGTTGACTAAGATGAGCTCTGGTCCTTTCTGTGTCCGCTCCAGCCAGGCACCCTGACTGCTGGCCTGTAGGTTGATAGTGGTCTGAACACACTTTGCTTGGTCCCCAGGTTTAGCTGGATCAGTGTAATAGCTGGTCCACTGAGGCAAGTGTATTCGTCAGCATCTCCAAAGAGACAGAACCAACAAGATCGTGTGTGTGTTTATTTATTTTTCGGGAATTGGCTCACACAATTGTGGGGCACTTGGCAAGTCTAAAATCTACAGGATGGGCTGGCCGGTTGGAGACCCAGAAAAGAGTTGGTGTCTGAGTCCAAAGGCAGCTTGCTGGCAGAGCCCCCTTCTGTGAGGGGGTCCTCAGTCATCGTTCAACGGATTGGATGAAGTCCACCCACGTACTGGAGGGCAATATGCTTTATTTAATGTCAATCTCATCCATAAAACACCTTCACAGAAACATCCAGAGTAATGTTTAACCAAATATCTGGGCACTGCAGCCCAGTCAACTTGTCATATAAAGTCAACCCTATGACGGGCATGCACTCCCAGTGGGCGTGGCCTGGATTGCCTTACATCTGACCCATTCATTCACTTATCTTCTTGATGTTGGGAGGTGTTTGAGTTTGTGATCCTTACTTTGGCAACCCTCTTTATGATTATGTATAAGATTTCATCATCGGACACTGCAGGAAAAAGTTTGCCTTGCTGGATCCAAACAACTTTCTGGGCAAAAATGCCCACTCTCTCTTTACTGGTGCCAAGTGTACATTTTCTTATCATGAACTAGCTGGAGCACGAATGTATGGCATGCTGGGGTCTTTGACTTGGAAGGATGTGCTTGCTGTAACTCATGTGAGCTCAGGTATGGGGCACGTTGGGATCGGAACAGCACTGTCCTGGTGATGGACATAGCAGGTAGGTGCTGGGAAAACCAACGGGCAGGAGCCGCTGGCCCAGGGGGCAGCCTGGGGATCCGAACCTCAGTGTCCAATGGATGTGGCAAGTTCTTTTTTTTTTGAATAGTGAAAAGTCACAATTTTGCTGTTGAGGCCACACATTATACTTTGACTCATATTTTTTCTGAGCTAATCAAAGGGTGTGAGGATGCCCAATGGAGCAATTCACAAGATATGGGATGCTTCACGAATTTGCGTATTATCCTTGCTCAGGGTCCATGCTAATTGTCTCTGTATCGTTCCAGTTTTAGTGTATATGCTGCCCAAGCGTGCACGGGACGCGGCAAATTCTTGTGTGTTTGTGTAGGTGTGCATTTGGACAGGGAGGTTTATTCTGAAAGTGAGGTACCCCTCCCCACCACACTGCCACAGTGGGAGGTTCCAGGAGGTTGGTCACAAGGAGGGCCTGAGCAGGAAGGAGGGCAGCAGGAGCTACACTGGGTATGGGTTTCCACTCAGAAAGCGCAGGTTCAGGAAAAGATTGGACGGGGTTAGGACCCAAGCCTAGGGGATGACCAGAGCAATCCGCAGGGGCTGAAGTTGAGGGTTCTATGGTTTAGAAGCCACACGGTGAACCAGCAAGAGAATGAGGGCTTGAGACTGACAGATGCGGACAGCTTTGCTGACTGAGGCGGCAGGGCTGACAGGCCACGGTGGGTGGGGCACGTGAGCCAATGACAGAGGTGCTCTTGCTCTCTCAGCGTGGGCCTCACTCCTGTCCTGGGAGGAGGCCAGGAGCGGGAGGGCGTATGCTGCTGAGACCCTGGGAGACTTCTCCGTGAGACGGCACTCATAGCTTGCCTTTGTGTGTGCTGGTGGTTTTGTATGTTTGTTTTGTTTTTGCTTTGATAAACAACTCATCCTGTAAATTATACTCTGTTTCAGAATTCACAGAAGTATGACTTGTCTTCTAATCCGTAAAGCAGATTCAGGTACTTTCATGATTCTTAGGAGATTGTATTTCTGACAGTTCAACTTCTTTTTTCTTCCGGGATGTGGCACTCGAGGGAGGTGCGGAGCATGTTATCGTCTCCTTCCCCCAAACCCCAGGGCCCCGCCACCTCCCCAAGGAACTCACAGTCTGGCTGGAATTGAAGGTGCATCTGTTCCTGTGATGGACTGGGACATATGCTCTGCTGGAGACAAAAACAAAGCGGTCTCACTGGGTGAGGGAAGGAGAGATTCATTCTCTCTAGAAGCTTCTTGAGGGAAGATTGAAACATCGATGGAGCCTGCAGGAAATATATTGACAGTGGAAATTACTTTTCCTGAAGACTCTGAAATAGGAGCATCACAGACAACACAGTGACAACGTTGCCCAGGGCGGACTTTCCCTAAGAACTGTTTGAGACAGAGACCTCATGTGTGAGTCTGAACTTACATGGGAGAACAGAAGGGACAGAACTTGACAAAACCAGGAAGTGCCCCCAACTTCTGGGGATAAAGGGGGTCGTATAAACACTAAAGCAGGGCTTTGGCAAGTAGGAGGAAATTTTCTCTTTTGAAGTTACTTCAGGCAAGAGTTAGCAAGAGGTGAAGTAAAAATGCACAGCTTGGGCATCAATAAATAATTAATCACACATTTGTATTGTACTTTATGGTTTAGAAATCAGGGTCACAGTGGAGGAATTTCTGATATTTCTGTTTAACAGATGAGGACGCAGAGACTTGGCGAAGTTAAGTCAATTATTTAAGATCTCATAAATAGTAAGTGGCCAAATCCTTATTGAGAGAATGAGTTCTGGAACATTTCTTGATCTATTTTTAGCAACTTGTGAAACTCTAATCTCTCTTTCTTCAATAAACATTTATTGAGCATCTACATGTAGATACGAGGTATCTGATGGTTTTGGATACAGTTCCTTCCATCTGGGAGCTCACAGTGTAATGAATGGTTTCAACTGGGGTGATTTTGCCTCCTGGGGGCCATATGGCAATGTCTGGAGGTATTTTTGGTTGTCATGACTGAGGGAGATGGGTGTCCACTGGCATCCAGTGGGCACAGAGGTCAGTGATACTGCAACGTATCTTACAATGCATGGGACAGCCCCCAAAACAAAGAGCTCTTTGGCCTATACTGTCAATAGTGCTGAGGTTGAGAAACCCTAGTCTAGTACATCATTCATTCATTCAATTACTCATTCTGTTAACTTTTTGAGTACCTACCGTAGACCAGGCACTCTTCTATGTGTAGACGAGATGCTGGGGAAAGACAGAAGAAGCCCCGTTCTCATGTCACATTCTGGGTGCGGAGTGGAGGATGGCAGGGAGGGAGAGCCAGGCATTTACAAGTAAATGAATTAGTAACGAGGAAAATATCAGGTGGAGATACGTGCTCTGCAGAAAGTTCAGATGTGTTGGTTTAATTATGTATAACTTGGGGGTTTCTTTTGGTTGGCTGATCACAGAAGGCCTTTTAAAGAGGTCATATCAATGGCTAAATTGGAATGGCAAGAAGCCATCTGAGGAAAGGGCATGTCGGTCCAAGAGGACAGCAAGTGCAAAGGCCCAGAGATGAGAACGCAGTTGGAATGCGATTTCAAGGAACAGAAGAAAGGACAGGCTGTTTGTGGTGTGAAAGGAAGGGGAGGGAGAGATGGAAATGACACCAGACAGGGTGGCAGGGGCTGCATCCCATTAGGGCTCTGTTAGCCAAGGTAAGGAGTTTGGATTTTCTTCTAAAGCCTTGTATGTGGCTGTTCTCATGGTGAGAAATGATAAGGTAGTGAAGAAAAGGGAATAGAGTCTTGGGAACAAAGTGTCTGAGGAGCATGACGTTGAATTTGAGGGACAGAGAAGGCCTCTCTGAGACCTAGAAGTTGAGAAGAAACCAGTTACAAGAAGGCCTGGGAACCAGTAATATCCCTGAAGTTATGGGTCAAATTGTACCCCCCCCATTCATATGTAGAGGCCCTAACCCCTGGTACCTGAATATGATTGTATTTGGAGATAAGACCTCCAAAGAGGTGGTTAAGTTAACATGAGGATAAGTCGAGTAATCTGACCGGTATCCATTTGGACAGATACGCCACCTGTGTGCACAAGGAAAGACCACATGAGGACGTGGAGAGAAGACAGCCACCTGCAAGCCACAGAAAAAGGCCTCAGAAGACACCAGGCCTGCTGACACCTTGGTCTTGGAGGGTCAGCCCCCAGAGCTGTGAGAAATGGATTACGTTGCTAAGACACCAAGTCTGAGGTGTGTTGTCGCTGCTCCAGCAGACCAAGTCATCTGAGGTTCTGGTTTCTCATCTATTGAATAAAGGGCTGTTGTGGATTTGAAAACCAAGGTTCTTTCCACTTCTCAGAGTCTTTGATCCTAAGAAGTACGTGAGCTCCTTCTCAGGGCGGCCTGAACTGTAGCCTTAGCTTGGTTCCTCCACCCAAGAACGAGAGAACAGTTTCGGGAAGTAGAGGAGCCCTGGGGAGGAATTTGGAATTAGATGTGGAGTTCCCATCCGTTTCAAAGAGCCTGGGCTTGGAGCACTGCCCAGTCACCCTGGTCCCACAGAAGGGGGTTGGGTTTGAAACCCCAGATGGGGATCCACACCAACACAATGGCAAATATGTCACCCTTGGGGACGGGCGGAATTCTGTGCCGAGTTTCCAGAGGGGAAAGAGAACTTCAGGAATTTTCCCCTTGGAAAGAGTTCCCTAGAGACTAGGGGGACTTCCACTAAAGACCATGGGGGACTTTCAGCTCCGCTGGTGCTGGCTGCACACACCACCCCAGGCATCTCAGGACCCTGCCTTCCGTGTGAAGGCGCCTCTTTGGCTCATCTTGTCCTTTTTGGCTCTTATCTTGCCTCTGATAGTGGAAGTTGGAGGATGGGACTGGATCCAGGGCTCTGGTACAAGTGGGTGAAGCTTCTGCAAGGTTCATGGGTGCCCCGCTTGCTGAAAAAATACTCTGACCTAGCAAGAAGTGCTATGGTCCTCGAAACGAGAGCTCTTGAACAATGGTGGATAATGTTTGAACAATTACGTCTGTTTGTAACTTTTTCCTTACAAATTGAGGTATATAAGAGCATATTAAAGGGGAAGGCTATGCCTTGATGCCTGGTTTTCATACTAACCATCTGTCCATATATTATAATTCAACAAATATTTACTAAGCAATTCCCGTTGCTTACAATTTGGGGAGAGAAGGGGGGGGGGACAGACACTAAACCAGTATGTGACATATGTGTGATGTATTTGAATAAAGTGATTAGCAGGGTGTCCATTCAATGGGTGAAGAATGAATGAATGAAGGAACAAATGAATGGATTGGACATTTTATACTGTAGATTCCAATTCTGTTTCTGCCTCTATGTGTTAGTATAAAACCCTATTAGAATGTGAATTTTTCTGGCCCCCAGAATATAAGCTTTCTACAGCAGGGGTTTTTAAAGCATTGAATAATGCTGCACCCCAACACCCAGAAGAATACCTAGTACATATAAGCACCCAACTAATACTTGTTAGGTGGAGCATTGAATGGCCTTAGAGAATAAATGAATCTCTCTGGGTCTCATTCATTTATTCAGCACAGTCATACTAGGTCTGTGTTAGGTTATGAGGACTGGGACCCAAGGTGGTTTCAGAGGGAGACAAGTGAGCAGACAGGTCAGTATGTTTGGATGATTCCCTAATGCAGGACAGTGCAGGGATGCTGACAACACAGAGGAGTCAGGGCTGTAGCTGAGGAAGACATGAGCCTGGTCGGAAGGGGGTGAGGAAACTGGATGAGCGAGGGCACAGGGTCGTATGTTCGAGAAGCCTGGCTGCAAGGTGATCAGTGTGGCAGGACTGTGGGCTCTTCTATGGGGGACAGCCAGGAGGTGGTGTTAAAGGGATAAGTAGGGCAAAATCACGGAGGTCTTTCATGCATAGAGGTGTGAACTATACTTGAACATAGCAGAAGCCACTGAAGCGGGTAACACAGTGACACATACTTTAGAAAGATGTCCCTGATGGAATAGTGGAAAATGACTTGTTTTTGGAACAAGAAGCAAAAGACCCCTGAGGAAATGACTCCAGTAATCCAGGTAAGAGATGATCATCCTGGGCAAGCAGAGAATACAGAGGGGTATTTAAGAAACAGAAAAGACCGTACATGATAACTCATTGATTGTGGGGGCCAAGAGAAGACAGGGTAGCACATCTGCAAGGATTCTGCATCCTGGTGATTGGGTACCGGCACCAAAGACAGGGAGGAGGGGAAGACCACTGGCCAGTGACAAATACACATCTGGAGCTTAAAGGGAAATCGGTGTCACTCATATTGAG